TCAAACATTTTCTCATTTGAGCTCAAATTGTCGGTCAAATAATTTCCCGGCCATTGGTTCGGGTATTGGCGACGGATTTCGTTGACCCGACACTTGTCGATACAGTGGGCCCGCGATTGGTAGCCCTGTTTGCGGTAGTCGTGGCATTGGGTCTCATAGGGGGCCGGCATCGAGTAGACTAAGTCCCGGTGATAGACGATAAAGTAGGCGGTCGAGAGGTTCCCCACCCGCCGGTGCGGGACATCTAGAAAGTCGTGTTTATAAAAGTTGTAGACTTTTTGTTTACGGGAATGGGATGTGAAGTAGATTTTGTCGATTCTGTTGTTGAACTCAATGTACATTAAACTCTGCAAATAGTCTTTGAATATAATGTCGTTTCGTATTATGTATTGACTGTCGTCCTCACCATTCAATTGCGAGAATAATGTGAAACATATTCTGTAATTAAATGTAATTTTTTTTAATAAGTTTAATTAATTGATTATAGTTATTGGTTTATTTTAAATCTATTTTTGTATTAGAAATTATAAAATATTAAAATGAAATTAATTTTTAAATAATATGATTTAATATATAATTTAATATAAACTATAATTTAATATTTCTAATAATATCTATACATGATACAGTTTATTTATCTTTTTCAATAAACTGTAATAAATATCTCATAATAAATATAAATTAATGACAAATAATTATTTTGTGTAATTGGAACAAGGAACATGAATGTTTACTTTTTAAGTAGAATAGAAAGTATGTCTATATTATATTAAAATAAAATTATAATCTCATAAAAATCTACACAAAAAGTGAAACAATAAACTTACCTGTGATAATCAATAGAGCATCGGACGGGTGTTATTTGATGGCAGTCCACCCTAGGGTCGGACTGATTGGGAAACATGAGGGTCTTATAGACGCGACATGTCCTAATATTTTCACTACAATTATTCAAAACTTTAAACTGGGATTCAATGGACAGGTTGGCGATGAAGGCGTCGATTCTTGCATTTAAATCACTCGAACCGTGCGATTGGTTTTGCAATTGAATTAAATACTGGTGTTTGAGAGCATCCCTCTTATCCAGACATACGGTAAACGCCGGCAAAGATATCATCGAAATGTTCTCGTATTTGACAAAAGTTGTTGTTTTGTATGCGAAATATATTTCACAGATTTTGACGCAATTGTATAGACAGCAACCGAAACATAGTCCCAAAAATGTTATACGAAATAACTTGCTAATTTTGATAAATTCAGGCAACATCTCGCAATTACTATATAAATTAATATTATGATTTAATTATGATTTGAATATACATAAATATATAAGGAGATTTTTGTTTTCGTTATGGACTCAAAACAATAGTTTTTGTATGTAAATCCTATAATGAATATGATTATATTATAATATAAAAATCATTTGTACGATTAACATTAAACTAAGATTATTGATTTTTATATTAATGTATACTTTATTTGATCATAAGATTTATTTTGAAATATATACGAAATGTTGTAAATAGTAATATTTAGTGCAATACTATATTAGTACAATAGTTATTAGTTATTCATACATTAGTACAAATATAGTATACACAATAGTACCTGTATAGCACAATTAACTTATTTAATTTAAGTTTAACTGTACCATTTGTTTGTATAAAAAATATATATGTATAAATAAATATATTCTGGTTATTATACTTGCTATTTAGTAGTACATTTGATTAGTTTTGCACTAAATCTTGCTTGTGTATTTGTACTAAATGTTGTGTATTGTATACAAACTGGTCGGTATTGTCTCCCGGGGTATCAAATAAATAAATAGACACACCCAGACACAATACCATACAGTTTAACAATTTACTGACGTGTAAACTTTAAATTCTGAAAGAAAAAATAATTATTATTAATAAATTATTATATTACAAACATTTATGCAAGATATTGTTAAACTTTCGATACCTTATAAGAAAATAAAATAACTATAACCTCATTACATTTAGAAATTTCTTAAAATTTAGTTTAAAATTCTAAATATTTATAACCATAACATAATTTAGACATTTAACAAAATAATTAACGGGCCACCTTTATATAGCATTTATTGTGTCCTATATTTACATTAAAATTTAGTTTTAAGTTACGGTTATATGAGATATGAAGCACTGAGAGTACAAATGTACTCAAAACTCATTGTCTGCCAACACATCACTTGCCAGTAGATCCGGTCATAAGAATATCTTTTATGATTGTCTTCATATAATTTCTCTGATAATATCTAAATGTTGAATATTTCGTAAAATTACATATTTATTTCTTTAGTAATATTAATAGTATTTAATACAATAATTCATAGAATATTCTTTAAGAATTTACTCGAAACTTTCTCCACAATATTGAATACTTTACACAGTCTTGATTGTATCATACAATGTAAGCAAGAATTTGTTATTAGTTTACTTTTTTATTAGTTTTGTTATAAAATTCTTGATGACATTAGTTATATCCGGGATAACATATAATAAAGTTACATAGAGTGCTTGAAATGTTATGACACAAACAAATAAAATACATTTTTAGAACTATTTATAAGAGATCTTATTTCAATTATACGTTAATTTAATATCAAATATAAGTAGTGTTTATTTATTTTTAAAAATATATAATAAAATTAAAGATTGCTATGCATTTATTTTCTGTTTAATAAATTTTTTTTATATATTTGAAAATTATTAATATAGTTAATCTAATTCAAATTCGAATTTATTAATTAGAATTAAACTTGGTTACTTATTTTAATTTTTGTATAAAAATTATTTATTTAAAAAAATAACAAAATATTAAATTAGTATTCTTACTTGATTTAGCTTTTTATATACTGTATTATTCTTAACTATCTATCAAATAAAGAATTAATATTATAATATAGAAAAGCTAAATTAAAGCTATTATAATATTATTATATACTGTATACTGTTTTGGTCGTAAATCTTATATAGACTGTACAAAAGAAACTTAAAGAAAGTTTCTCCAGATTTTGAGATTATTTCTTTTTGTACGTCTAATCTTATATTAAAAGTTTAGAAATTTTTAAATAAAAGTATTGTTATGGATTTGTTTTAATGATATTTGTGTTTATCAACGGTATAAGAGGATAATAACTTATTAATATAATATCCCGATATAGAACATTGCATTTAGATACTAAAACTCATCAATGTTCTTTTTAAAGTAATACATTTCACACTATACAGAGAATATGCTAATTGTCATTATAAGAAACAGTGTTTTATATTATTACTGTGACTCATTTTGCAATATTTTTTTTAATTTTCAATATAATTTTGCTCATAATTAATTAATTAATTAATTAATATGGATCATTTTGAAAATGTCAAATGATATGCGCGTAAGTAAGTGTTAAAATTTTACAAAAACTATTTCTCGTATTAAATTCACTCACAGTTTAGAAAAGTCTGGACGAGTACTGTACTATACATTACAAAATTAATTTTCAAAAATATAATTGCTTTTGTGTTATAACTAGTACACATCATCATGAAATTAAAAATGTGTTCAATATTAGATGAAATTTTTATTGCACCTTGTTTTATGTTTTTGGGATAGCACTTGAACTTCACATCCTGGTGTTTATCATGTTATTAAAAATATTTAATTTTAATTATTATTTAAACACCAACTGATTTTTTGTAATATACTAATTAAAATAGCGGTAAGTGTGCTAAACAGTGATTGTGCTTTGTAAATATAATTTATTTTATTTTATTTATTTTATCGATATTTTACAAAACTATTCTAGATAAATCGCATAAACAAATAAATAATAGTACTGTAATAATCTACTATAACTGTAATTAAACATTTAAAATTATAAATATGTTAATTCATAGAAAATTTTTAAATGCAAGAATTTCATTTAATTTTTAATTAATTGCATTTATGGAAATAAATATTCTTTAAATTTTAAAATATTCATTGACCGACGTGTGCTAACTGTTTATTACACCAGGATAATAGTGCTGTGCCGGTAAATATTTATACCCAAATTACACTAGTTATCTTTATGATTATTGTCGTAATAATTATAAAATTGAAATTAAAGTATTATTATAACAATGAGTACAGTATTACAGACTGTTTGAAATTATTCTATAATTTAGTAAATAATTACTGTAATAATTTTATTTTCCAACACGATTAGTTTAATATCGCTAAATATTTAAATAGGAATTTAAAAACCTAATATTTTATAAGCAATAATCTTGCCATTTGTATAAATAATAATAATATTTATTTATACAAAAATTAATAGTAATAAAATAAATATTAATTGAATTAAAGATTTATCTGTATTTTAAAAATTACCTGTTGCATAAAATAAAAAATGGTGTATTTTTTAAATTCTAGGATTATTTAAAATAACTATTTTCATAAGAGTTAACAAATATTTGATACAAAATATTATGTGATGGCTATGAACATAGACAGGGTAGGTATTATCTCCGGGGTACCCAAACATATAATTAATAGGCACACCAACAGAGATAATACCTGACAGTCTATGTCTGCATACAAATACATAATACTTTGCGATCATAGCATTTGATTTATTTTATATGTAAACCAAAATACAATAGACTCCTTATTAGGAAATAAATTTAAGTCAAGAAATATTTACATTTTATAATATATTTTTTACAACTTGATAACAAAATGAAATCATTTATCAAAACTAGCAATCGAAACAAACATTTAATTAATAATTACTTATTATTCAACTATTTGATATCAACTATAAAACATTTAATGTCCAAAATATTTATTAACAATTTAAATACAAATCTCGATATAACCATTTAAAAGAGACATTAATTTAAATATTATATTGGTAACTAAACTTGTTCAATGTTTATCAATATGATGTATACTGTTACATTTTCATGTAAGTTATATCAAATAGAATTAAATATATAATCCAGTTACATTTTATTAAGAATATCGGGGGTATCGCACAAATATTTGTTGCAATAAAAAGCCAACTTTCCAACGATGCCATCAATCGGAAAGTAATGACTCTTAGGGCTGGTGTTCATAATGGCATCAATTATATCGTTGACCACAACATTGGGATTGCCTTGCGCAAAACTCATACCCTGCAACTTGACATACAGTTTCTTGATTTTATCACAATAATTGTCTCCATAACCACTCTTAACCGACTCATCCGTTTCATTCCACGCCTTTTCCAAGCCTTTCAACTAAAATATATAAATTAAAATTTTATAGATAATGATTAACAGTATAAATAAGCTAAATTCTTATAAATGAGCTAGATAGTTTTTAAAACATACCGCTATATTAGTTAACTCCGTGTGTGCATAATACCCTGGACATATTGTAGACACAGTGACACCGAATTCATTCATTTCTTTACGGAGTGTCTCAGAAAATCTAAGTACCGCTGCTTTTGACATACAATATATCCCGAGGTTTTGTAGTGAACAATAGGCAACTATACTGGAATAGTTGATAACTCGCCCTGGTAATATAAGTTGTTCGTTAGCATTCATAACAATTTCTCAATGTATATAAACCTTTTGACTGTTTAATTAATGGTAGGAATATTCTGGTGACTCGTAATACACCGAAAACGTTGACTTCAAACACATTTTGTATGGACTCTAATGAACCCCAATCTAAACGGCTGTATAGCATAAGCCCCGCGTTGTTGACCACTGACCACAAAACCACATCGTTTTTGGTGAGATCTTCAGATACTTGTTGGTAGACATGTCGGACCTCCTGATCGTTAGTGACATCCATTTTGATGACAACCATCTTATCGATGAATTGACACTTTTTGGACAGCATTTGTGCGCCGGAAGTGTTTGTGTCGTAAACAGTGGCGTAAACTCTAAATCCAAGTCCATTGAGACTCAGCGCCAGGAGGTGTCCGAAACCAGTGTCACATCCTTTGTGTAAAATTTTTTTTAAAATTATAAATTTAATAAAAGTATAATTTTCTTATACCTGTTATGAGAACAGCCTTTCCCTTAGAGGTAATCGTCTGATTTCTTCGAAAGCATTGAATAAACTTAATAGTGATGTATATAATAAAGGATATTAATAGTAATTTTGCTATTATCAAGCAAATATAGTTATAAAATATCATAAACAATGGTAAATAATTATTTACAACTGGATGTAGTATGTCAAACATTTTGAAATTAAATATGCGTTTTAATTAAAATGTTGTATTTATACAGGGATATTTATGCATAGTGTTACTATGAAACATAATTTATACTTTATTGATAGTTTTAACATTCATAATAATTTCAAGTGTTTTTAGAAATGTTTTAAAATTTTTGTAACATGACTGTCATACTATATTAAATAACATAAATATTTACTTATAATTTTGCATTAAAGTTTAAAAACAATTTTAAAACTATACAATCAACAGTTATAAAAAACACATTAAATATTCATAATTTAATCAAAGAGCTATTATTTGCTATTAAATAGCATTAAATAGAGATTAAACCTTGATCAGATTATTGTAAAGTTTAAATTTAAAAAGAATTATTTTATTTATTATAATCTATGAAAATTTTACAAAGGGTCATTCATTAAGTACATATGCAAAAAATTGACAATAATATCTAATTTTTACAATTATATAAGATAATATTTTAACTTAAAACACAAATTACAATCGACATGTAAATTTCGCAACTTTTAAGACCCCATTACAATGTATGCATATTTTAATTTTACAGTCCATAACACATTTTAAAAATTTACTCCCTGTCCCCTCATACAGTATGTATTCATTAATAAGTTAAAACAGTATCTAATAATTGATTGACGTCTGATTCATCAACATCCTTTTGATAACAATTATCATATTTATTGTGAATTTGCTTTTTTGGTACAATAATTATTTCATAATAATTGATGTTCATTATGATATACCTCTAAATCTCTAAAACTTATAAAAACTTATAAAAACTTATAAATAACTTATAAAAAGATTGTAATGCATTTAATCTAACCTGAAAAAGCATTATCAAATCTTGAAAGCTATATTGTGTAATATTATTTTTAATGCTCTAACTATTTTCATTTTACATATACGGCATACTAGTATTGATTAATTGTATCACCAGGGTGCAATTCTGTTTGATTGAAATATTTAACCCAATATGAATTTTAATATAAATTTAATTTTTCAAAGTTATTTCATTAATAAAGTTCTAAACTACAAATTATAAAATATAGTCTATAATTATCAAGGTGCTAATGCGGGCCACACTACTATATGCGGACAGTTACAAAACTTTGACATTTTAACATTAATCTCAATACTGACTATTGTTAAAATGTTCAAAGTGTTGTCAATACTAGGATTTCCACATTGATAATCGTAGATATAGTCATTTACGTTTGAATTTATCAATCAGGATTTAGTTGCTAGCTTCAGAGATTCAAAATTTTATTGATTATTGAAAATAACAATTAATAAGAATATGTGACAGATGCTTTAAGTGCACCAGTGCACAATATAAAAATAAGGTATATAAATCGCGAAATAAATGCAAAAATTACAAAGTATTCATAACTTTATACAATTGTTAAATATTAATAATAATATGAAGTTAATTATTGCAATCTTATGTGTTTTATTTGGCTATTGTTTAGGTAATAATGATTTCATTTAATATTTCATATCTGTAGTGGGAATATGAAATAAACACATTGTCATATTTTTAGATATCGATAGTAATCGAGAAAGATTCATTATAATCATCACACTACGTGGTCATAGTCATAAACTTTTAAGCTTAGCTTGCT